GGTGAGTAAAAATATTCTAAAGATGCTGTTCTTCCTTTACTTTGAAGAAATAAAGTATTAATCCAGCCTCTCCTTTGTATCTTCCAACAGATCAAATATGCCGGTTCAGATACAGATTTCAGCGCATCTCCAGCTTTTTGCAAACACATCAGCAGGGTGGAGTGCGAGGAGCAGAAGGTGATAGGTACTCAGGTCCCCTTGCAGCAGCTGCTGGAAGGCCTGATTGCAGACGAAGAACTGCCTGCCAAGGACAAGAGGAAAAGACTTAAACAGGTATGTCCACACAAATGGAATAAGTTGAAATAAAACCGCTATTAAAATGTAGTCCCAACCAGAAGTGTCTCTTGAAGTTTAGACGGGCATTCGCAATGCAGCAAAGTTAAACTGCTCTTCTGTTTGGTACAAAATCCAGCAATAAAACAATGTTAACATTCTAAAAACACAAGGGTACTTGTTTTTCTGTGGCATCGCAGGTGCCATAGAGGAAGTGATGAATGACCCAAAGCCAGTATGAAAGCATGTCACAAAGCATTTTACATCACCACCTCAAATTCATCCAGGCACCTTTAAAAACAAGCCTCCCAATCTGTACACCGTATTTATTGTCAGTGTGTTTCAGTCAATAACTTTAACAACAAGTTGTCAAAATGCTTGTATGCAAAAACGTTACAATCGTTGTTTCCGTATTGCGACAGCTGGCGACACTTGTAGCGAGCCTCCCCACACAATCGAGCACGTGTCAGGGAACATTGCAAACTACTTCATTTCAATCTGAGTAAACAGAACATCTAAAGCAGCTCTTGTTTGAACAACGCTCGCAACAAACACAACGGGAACACAGGAGTCTACAGTCAAACGTGTGCAATCAGAAAGCGAGCATATATTCATTCACAGTGGAGCATGACCCTCCGCTCATTATCTCACAACCGCTAATTAGCCTAATCCACTCGTTTGCTGAAGAGCAGAGCGCACTTTAAAGATTGTCCACATCCAATTTACATGCCTCGTACTTGTGCATTGCAACTCAATGGAAAATTTAATTGTGTAACTAAACTGTATTCTTTTTTTTAAATACAGATGAGCCTTTGCCTGTGCTTATTTACATAAAAGAAGCCACACAGAGTAAATACATCTCTCGAATCATGTAAATTCAGTGATATTTCAACTACCGGCTTCTAGCACTGGGTCATTCCTAGTACAGTCTCTTGTATTTCTGTAAAGTTACCTGAATAAAGGTCCAAACAGAATATCTCTTGGCCACACTGACTATACAGTTCTGCTCAACAAACATGTCCTCTCTCCCCCATTCAGTTCCAGAAGTCCTACCCAGAAGTCTACCACAATAGATTTCCCACTGAGGAAAGCAAAGCTGCTGTAATACCTGAAAAAGCCCCACGACTCAAACCTCATCTCATGTTCTTCAGTCTGAAGAAACCCTTCCAGCCTTTTCAGAGAAGTTGGAGTTTTAGGGCGTAGTCTGCCACCAATAACACATCTACACTTCAGACTGTAATCACAGCTCAGCCTCAGTCAGGAGACTGTGTGGCTGGAATAGGGCTCTGGACACAACTTTGGTACGCTTCATGAACCACTGTAATTTGTATTTAAAAAAATAACAATCAGTCCTTTGTAGCAGTTTAACCAAGGTGATCACTTAAAGGTTCAGTTCACTCAAATTTCCCACATAGTAGTTGTATCTAACCCTGTGGGTAGCTTTGGTTTAAGCTGCAGAAGTTTAACATAAATGATAAACACAATGAATGTGGATGCATGAACTGACCTTTTAAAAAAATGTCACTGTATTGTGTTGCTAGAAAACTTGAAGTGATACACTAACACTAAAAAAAGCCACTGATGTTTCTTAAAATGTATTTGTATTGGTACATTTTTTCTGTGTCTTAGACGGGTCTAAATAATGAGAATTTAAAGTAGCCAATTTGACTGAAATACATTTAAAAAGTATTAACAGGTTATTAGATGTTAACATAAAATATGTTACATTAAATGTTACTGATTCAAATACATAATGCTCTTTAAAGATTGAATATTGATGTTACACTTTATTAGAAATACGTAGATGCATCTAATGGTGTTAACTGGTCTTTGATGAGATTGTGTCATTTCAGGAGCTCTCCATGTGATCATGACTCTTGTAATGCAAAGATGCATTTCATTTTATATTTAGGCAGCCTAATCTATTTGTCATCTTTTTTTTAAATCAGGCAAACGGTTATTTAATGTCAATAAACATATCATGGATTTACCTAGAAAGGGGGTATATGTGGCATTTTCATAGCTTTAGTAGAGTTTTAGCTGATAATCACATTTGTAACTACGTATAAATCAAACAAATAAGGAAAAAATATACAAGACCTGGGTGAAAACATTAGACAGACTTTTCTGTATGAGCTGTACATTTATTTCTTCTATACATAAAGTGTCACATCCCTTTCTATCTAAACCCTCCTAATACCTTACTTGATGTGTCCTGCACTCTCTAAACAACTCATTTCATGTTTTTGCAAGTTGGTTTTATTGTGTATATAAGGACTATTTTTCTGGATGGTACATATTTCAGTGTCTCAAACATTCTTCTCTCATTGTTTTCATTGTGTCTTGTCATTTTCTATTACTTGCTGCTCTGTCATGCCAATCAGGTTGTTTTTCACTTAATTTGAGACGTAAAAATGTTTTATTTTTATAATGATAAGTGCTGACGTTTTGATATGAATTCTCACAAATGCTCTTAGAAAAAATGCTGGAATAACTGTTACACTTGAATTGCTTCTCTGTGCTGGAAAAGAAATTAAATGAATTTGAGTCAATAAATATTGATATGGATTTTCATATATAAAAATTGTATTTGGCTTATGTAACTTTTTGCTGTTGTCTTTTTGAATGTTGTTTTTTTTTATACACGAGGGATCATTTGAGCTGAAAATGTTAGATCGTCTTTTGCAGAACAGAAAGACCCTGAAGATTAAAGATCTTTATATGAAAATATAGACAGTCTCAGTGTTCAGCAAATTGCACTTATATATTACCTTAACTTAATAGGGAAAGACTTCTTATTTTTTCTACAAAGGACCTTTCATTTATCATCTGGTTTCCATCTTTTTCTCCCTCACTGTGTGTGAATATGAAAAGCTCTTAGCAGGTAAGATGGTAATCACACCACACAACAGAGATTATGTGTAGCTACAGGGTACTTGAGTCACAGTGAGATTTTTAGCGGGAATCGGGAGCAGAAAGGCTTTTGTATGTTGCAACAAAAGAGTTTTGAGTCAGTAGCTGACACCTGCATGATCTCACAAGCAAACTCATCCCACATAGTCAACTCTTGGCCCAAGAAAACTTTTGTTACGTTATTTCACACAAGTCATGACCACCAATGTGATGATTCACAATGTTGAAACCACCGTGTTGAAGGTTTTTGTGCTGTGATAATATCTTTCTGTCAAGTTACTGTACAAGTTTTAGTTTTGGAAAAAGTGATGCTGCTTGCAAACATTTTTTTGCTGTGTATGTCACGCAACTTAGTGCCTTCAGGTTTCTTCAAATTCTGCATGCAGGGACTTTAATTTGTGTTAATTCTGCTCAGGTACAGAAAATGAAGGACAACTTGTTGGTTTTGGTGTAGCAAAGTCATTTCCTGCTCAGTAATGTGACTAACAAACAAATGAAGCAAGGCTGTCACACAAAACGGGGCCTGTGGGTGTTGCAAAATCTAAGAAAAGAATAACACAAAACAGTCTACGAGAAGAGCTATGCTACCTGCTATCCAAAACAAAACAATGGCAACACCAACCGCTACGCCTACAGTGTCTAACAAAGAATGGCTCGCAGATATGTGAAAACAACCAAGTCTGGCTTCGTCTCTGGCCAGTAGAACAAGTGTCTCAGCACAACAAATCATAAATCAAGTAATGTTCCAAGTAGCAATTTGTAAATCACTGTAGAACATACAAAGAGCAGACACATGCCAAAACGCACAGGGCTACGGGTCGCATCCAACAAAAGATTACAGAACATCCAAAGACAACTGGTAACCACTGGTAAGTAATTACAGAATTCCACAGAATAAATGAAAATAGCAAGAGGCACAGAGGAGAGCTGCTCACATTACAATCAGCCACTCAGAGTGACAGTTTGGCTGCAGCATTTAAGCAGGTGCAGTGGTGACGGTCCAGCTCGATTGGAGTGCAGGGCCGGGGCAGCGGTCCAATCAGCAGGGGCAGGAGGCAGGATGGGGGCAGCAGTCAAACAAGCCAAGCGTCCGAGTGCAGGCACTAATCTGATCAGCAGCCTACACATGCCAGTTTACGCACATGAAACATAGTCAGGAAGAGTCACCACAAGGAAGAAATGCACGAAGCCAGCAAATGCGTCAGCACAGTCCAGCATTACTCTACACTGTGGCACAGTGTGCCAACAGGCTGATATTTAGAAGGTTATTAAGTTAACAAACAAGCAGTACAGTCTCATTATACAAAAAGCTGTTGCTAGAATCCTTGAAGGGTGAAGCCAATGCAGAAGTACTTTAAACCCACATTCTTCCTGATGGCCAGTAGGAGGCGACTCCCTGGATGCAAAATAATGTCCAGTTATGCAGAAGTCTTGGAGAACAACTTTGGACTTGATTTGTTTTATCAGTAGACATTTTCCTCATGAGTCTATGCTCTCAGTTGTAGGATTTATCTCCTTCAGTTCAACATGATGTTCAGTTTGTAAATTATGATCAGATTTAGAGTAAAATAGATGCTTTGACTGACAGGTTGCCACCTTAACCCTTTATAGGGCACTCCTTCAAATACTTGGAAAATATCGGATTTATAATAAATAAAAGAAAAAGTAACAAACTGCAAAAAACATTTATTTAGAAGTGCTTTAGTTTGAGGTAATGATCCGTACACAACCAGTAACAAAGTATTTATAAAGTGCTTGACAAGTTCATTTAGTGACATTGTTCTAGGGGTAGTGGTGTTAATGGCACTAATCTCAAAAAATAAATCAAAGTGGAGTTCAATGCAAACCAGTAACAAAGCATTTATAAAGTGCCTGGAACACTTGTTTAGTGACATTTTTCGTAAGGTAGTGATATTGGCACTAATATAAAAACTAAATCAAAGTGCACATGGTTGTTCAACTTCAAGGAGAGGCACAGAGTGGACATATTGAATGTCCAAAGAAGTTACCAAATATGGTCACTTGCCCCATAAAGGGTTTACGCTGTACATTTTGTCCTCAAGTTCTTAGTTAAGTTCAGTCCTTGGTCACTATGTCTTGTTTCAAAAGTCCAAGATGGTCAAAAGCCAAACTCCTGGGACCTCATTTATCATCACTACATATGCACAGATGTGTGTGGAACTAGTGCATACGAACATTCCCATGCAAAGTATGGAATTTATCAACTTGTACTAGTAATTAGGAATGTGCGTAAATATAACTCTGACCATGCGTGCACACATAATCTAGTGGTACAATAGTGAAACTGCAACTAGAAAGCATTTAGGGATTTGGACCACCGGTGCATTCCAGCATGAGGTTGGAGACGTATGCAGCATTTCCCAGCCGTCACTGAGCGGGATCAAGCCGGCAGTGTTGGATGAACAGCTCTGTGGGTTGAAGATGGCTTATCGGTGAGTGTTACAGAGTGTGGAAATGTTTTAGCTGAACTTAGTGTGGTTATTAAAACATCTCATCTGTAGGTGATCAGGGTTATCCACTGGGTGAACGCTGGGTGTTCATTTGTCCTCCAGTTGCAGTCATTTCTCTTTTATGGGCTGTGGTGGGTTTTTTGGCACTTTTTATTTTCAAATTTTATTTTTCCTAGTGATCTGTCCCCTGACCCAACAGAATGAACTGTGTTGGTTATGTTGTCCTATGCAGTGTTTTTCCTTTCGTTGCTTATCCCAACAGTTCACCCACCAAACAATTGTTCTGGTTAGCTTCAGCGTCGCTGACAAGTGCTTCAACTCTCGGTTTCTGAAAAGTTCCTCTTTGTCGCCCTCTTTACCGTGATGATAAACAGTGAGGGGGGGAAAATATGAACCTGTTTTATAAAGAGGCATGTTGTTGCCGTATATGGTTAATTGGAGGCGTTTCTGAAGGCAAATAATCCCGAAAGTGCACGAGCATGGTGGTTAAGAACAAGTGGGATTTACCAACACTGATGACTTACTAATTGCGTACGACCCATGTACGCATGTTTGATCAGTACAGATTTTTTTTGTACTTACACACATTGTAAATTCCATTTGTAAGACAGAATTTCGACCCTTTTCTACACACTGATGATAAATGAGGCCCCTGGCTTCAAACCAATAGGTGACTTCATGCTGGCTGTGTTCATCTTTTATATACAGTCTGTGCAGCTATAGCTGATGTTAACACCATTGTGTTTTATCAAAAACCCGGAGGACAACCTAAAACTTAAATCTGAAAAGTTCAGGTCCATCATGCGGTTGACAGATCTTTGATTTATTTTTTTATTTTTTAAAATGTCAGAACCTTGATGGAGCAAGGGGATCAGGAAGGTCAGCTGGCTTTATCCTGTGTGACTCACCACTTGTAACAATCATCTTCATGAAACCTAAAGAATCTGCTTGCTTCAGTGAGAGCACACATTGGTCTGTCAAATAAGCTGTGTGACTGCTGAGTAATATTTAATGTGCATTAATTGGAAAACATAATGCTGATGAGTAAGATGCACCAGGGTGCACGTTGAAAGCAGGCAGCAGACTGATAAACATATGCCTCTGGCTGTTCAAGAATCCGTCTCCCTTCTGCTGTAAACATAATCAAGTTTGTGTCCAAAGCAATGCAGACGGATAGATGAGCCGCAGATAAACAAGGAAGCTCAATCTCAGCATCTGAAAGACATCAAGGCTGCGGGGACCTTTCCATGATCCTTAGGCCAAATTCAAACAAGACAGAAAATGATGTTTAAAGCTTGCTGCTACGCATTCAGCACTGTTACAGCAGTACACATTTTAAAGAGCTGCTGAACACCTATGATTTAGCTCTGACCTAATGATTCCAGATCTCAGTTTAAGACGCATTAGTAGCAGACTAATGAGTCATCCTCTGTTAAAAACTCAATGCTTTTATTTTATTTCTTTTTTTAAGAATTACATAACTCTAATGAAAGGTGGTGCGCTGACTTCTATAAACATGATTATGCTTCAGCTATTATCGGTGCATTAATATTCCGGCCTGTTTGCCTGCAGATGGTACAGTAAGTGTTCTATTCAGAGCGATTGGTAATAGCTGATTTCTCAGTAGTGGAGTGAAGGAGAAGGAATTAACTTCATCATCAGGGACCTCTTCTGCCTTTGTAGCCATGAGCGCACGGCCTGACCTGAATACAAAGCAGCCAATTTGCTGTCATGTATCAAGATAGTATGGCCGGCATTAGATAGTGCCTCCTCTCCTGTTCATGGACTCTGCATATCTGATCTGTAAGTGCTGCTGACACGCTCTCTTTTGCAAATTCACTAAGACTACTTGTGAGACCCTAAACCTTAAATGCTGTGGGGGAATAAAATCTAATTTCCTGGGTCCCTAACACCAGTTACAAAAATTGAAAAGTGAAAATTAAGCTAAATGGTTGCTTTTTTTTTATTTATTTAAACTTTCGTCTTCTGACGGTGCCAAGGTCACATGAACCCACGGAACATTTTTCGGTATTTTGTGTCACCCAGTCAGCCTATGCGCTCCTGTTGGGAAAACCCATGCTGTTTCCCTAATGCTTTTCTGGGAACAGACATGTAGCTGTGGTAATTGGTTTTTCACTCCGGAGAGGTTTCTGCAGTGCCCATGTATCACACGATCACATCGACCTAAAAGCAATGCAACATGGGGGAATCAAGATCAC